CAGGGCCCGGCGCCGATGCGGGTTCGATTCGATGTTCGGGGGGATCAGGGCGAGGAAGCGCAGCCCCAAAACAGGTTCCGAGCACCCAGCACCACGCCAACAGAGGTGATTCTCGGCGGGCGGCGCGAGGCAGGGCAAGGAGGATGCGTGTGAGCGCCCTGGGGCCTCGGGGTAATTTTGGGCAGAGGAGAAGAAATTGGGAGAGAGAGAAGAAACCTCGGGGCTTTTGACTCGAGGGGGGGGGGGGGTGCCGGCAAGCTTCGGGGGGGGGAAACACTCGTACAGGGTTCCGAGGTCCCTCGTGCTGGTACTGTCTGTCAATGCTGCTGCTGTTGCTGCTGATCAAGGTGGAGAGGATGGGCAGTGGGTAATGGGGAAAGCAGTAAGATAGGTGAAGGTGCTGTATGGATTGTGGCCAGCCCCAGACCCCGTTCGTTCTTTGTTTCTCGGCTTGGGCTTGTCCTTTTTTTTCTTCCTCTTTTTGATGGGGCAGATACAAACAAGACAGGTGAGCCGCCCCCCCTTGGCTTGGTGCCGGGATATCCTCTTCTGCGTTGGAGACCTGATTCAAGAAAAGGATCAGGGGGACGATGCGGAAAGGGGAAAGGGAGTTGATCACAGAGAATTGATCAGCCGAGCCGAATGAAGCGGGAGATTGAGGATGGAGGGGGTTTGCGATGGATTGTGTGGGGAAATCCATGGTGGCACACCAACTGGCAGGCGAGACGGGCTTTGGGCTTTGTTGGAGGCAGGTGCGATGCGGAGAAGCACCAAGGAAGAAATTGCGGAGGGGGCCTTCTGGAACACTCTGTCCAATCAGAGATGCTGCTGACCCAGCAAGGCCCGTATTTTGTGCACTGTGTTTGCCAAGCACACACGGTGTAACTGCACCGCAGTTCTTTCCCCATTCCCATCAGCTGCCATTGGTCCTTCCCTTGCCCCGTCCAGCAGCAGCAGTAGTCCGGCAGGAGTGCTGGAGCCGGAGTCCTGCAGCACTGCAGTCACGTTGGGGCGCTGGCGCATCCGAGGGAAAGGGAGCAACACGACGAGAGACATAGGACCCATCCCGACGGCCTGGGTACACAAGCCCGCCAAGTCAGCGGCTACAAGACTAGGAAACTGTAAAGAAGGTGTGCTCGTGTATGTGTGTGTGTGTATATGAGAAAGAGAGACACACAGAGAAAATGAGAAGACCAGACGACTCAAGTCTAGCGACACGCATCTCGTTGTCGGGGCTCGGCGATGCCACTGCCGTTTGCATGCATGGTCAACTTCCACCCCCCCCCCCCAACGCATATATGTTCAGCTGGCTTGTTGCGCCCTGGTCACAGCGATCGTCGCCATTGGAGATCCTTCGAATTGGTGGTGGACAAGGCGTGATAGGCTCGAGGGCCACCTGGATCCCAGCAAGGTCGGACGATTTGCTTGAATCCTACCCGCCACCACCTTCTCCAAGGTACGGTGCCTCACTTGCTCACGTATGGTTCCCCTTTGTGGTTCATCGCTTCGGGGGCCTCGGGCGTCCAAGACATGGATGGCTTCCACGTGACAGTGACACGGGGCGGAGTTCTCGGTCGCCAATCCCCCTTTCCCGGCACTTGCATCAGCCTCCGCCCCGCCACCCACATTCGTCCCTTCATGCGGCAATGTTCATGTTCATGTTTGACTCGCCTGGCGGGCACAACAGCGCCGCCGCACATGGCCGACCCTTGATCAGGCGCGGGCCAGGCCAGACTTGTGCATAGGGGCTTGTTATCTCTGAAATGTTTTTTCCTCTGCTTGGCGTCAAGATGCGTTGCTCATAGGCAGACTGAAGAGTCCCAGTATTGCATCCGTGGATTTATCCGCAGAACAGTCCTTGGCCGATCATGTCACGCAAGGTCAGGATAAATATCCCATCATGTAGTATCAGCTTGATCAGTGTGGAGGGGCACACCCCTTAGGTAATCACTGGCAATCGAGCACATGACGATGTCTTGTCCAATCGACATGTCGAAAGTGACCCCCGCGTTTGCAGAAATGTCCGACGGGGAAACTCCAGTTGGCCAGGTCCTCGATCGCGCGCCCTCGAGCCCCTCCCTCCCTTGTCTTGCGCCAGCAAAGCCAAGCATCCCTCATCGTCGCGCATACCGAACAGGAGAAATAACCTTTCCGACAAGGGTACCAGCGCCAGACGGACCCGACAGAGTGCGGCCGCTGAGTCTGCAGAACATCGGGTACGGAAGGAACATCAGATCATCAGAGACACACAGGTACTTTATGCTAAGGTAGGTACGTACAACGTAGAGGCACACAGACATGGATTCACAGACACACAGGGGCACGCAGCAGAGCTCAATGTGGTGGATTCAGAACGGTAACACCACACACCGTGACGGCTGCCCTATTCGGCTTTTTCAAGATAGTCCAGACTTCTGTCACCTCACCTGCCTGCCAGCCTGCCTGCGTGCTCAGCTCGCGGGCTCCAGCTCCGATGCGGGTGGCTCTGTCTTTCTCCCTCTGGCCCTCTCACCCCCAGACCGGACCGGTTCCACTATGTCGGTGCATCTCTTCCCGATGCACGAAAAGCTTCCATCAATCTCTCGTGATTCCTCGATGGTGCCCCCCCCCCCACTACTGCCCATTGTAGGTGCCGCCCGCCGCGCCCGCCGTGGGTGCGTACCTGCCCTGGATCGGCCAGAGCAGAGAGAATCCCCGACGGTAGGCTTACGCCGACCCTCGACCGCACCACTGTGCCGTCACGGCCGTCCATTGATAACCCCCTTGTGCTCCCACCTCTTGACTCGACTATATTCCTGTCCCTTCCTCACCCTCATTCCTCTTCCTCCTTCACCCCTCCTCCCCCCATCTCCAACGTGTGAAGCGACCCCTCATCGCATCATCACCGTCAACCCACCCGACCTCTCTCTCTCTCTCTCTTTTCCTATCACACAAAATCGAAACTGTGACACAATGGCGTCCGGCGTCAGGCAGTTCCCCACCATCAAGGCCGTTCGGTCCTATGTCATTGACGGCGTCGGTGCTGGAGGCGATTACCACAACGTCAAGGGTGGTCACTGGTGAGTTTGATCCATTCTTCCCTTCTAAGCCCGATCTGCTGCATTCCTGGGTGAAGAACGAAGCTGCTCTCTGGATGGCTTGGTTCTCCAATGCCCAGGGTGCCAAGCGTTGGCGGGCCTCCGGCCCATTTGGGAAAACAAGCGAGAGAGACGGGCAAGAACCAAAGAACGTCGAGAAGAGAGAACAAAGAAGGAAGGGAAAAGGCTAACGAGGCGCCCACCGATACAGGCTGATCGACTCGCCCATCTCGACCCCCTCTTCGCGATGGGAGAAGTACCGCAAGTCCCGTACCAGCTGGGGCATCAACGTCCTCGGCTCCTTCTTCGTCGAGATTGAGGCCACCGACGACACCGTCGGTTCGCACGGGCTTCGGGGGCCCCCCGCCTGCTGCTCGTCCACCAAGCACTTTGAG